TAACTCCTCACCACTAAGTGATGTATTACGTAAAACCAACATTATATACCAATTTAAATGTCCCTTGGGAGAATGTATCTCCGAGTAAAAAACACATATATATGTTGGGTATACGACAAATACACTAACAAGAAGGCTTACACTTCACATGTCTGACCTTTCGTCTATTGCGAGACATCTACAACAACATTCCTGTACGCATTCACAATATAAAAAATTACTAGTCGAAAACACAACTATCCTACACTATGAAAACAACAAATCTAGATTACAGATACTAAAAGCAATTTATATTTAAAAAAAAATAAAATTAATTATATATTATAAAAAATACAATACAACAAATTTAATTATCCACAATATCAAGTTTTCAATCAGGTTCTAACAAGGTCGCTATGGCATTAAACGACTGCCTTTGAAACGCATTTTATTCTAATATTTATAGGATGTCTGGGAATTTAATATGGCATTGGCGTGCCTAATGTTTTCATCCTTCTGAATTTGGTTTGCTTATTCTCTATGTATGCCTTCAATAAACAAAAATCAACACTATCACATTTGCTCCATTCGTTTAACCAATCGAAGTTATGCATACAAAATCTGCCTCTTTGTTTTCTTTTGCCCGTTTCATTAGATTTTCTCTTCATGTGTGTCATATAAATGATGTCAAGTTTTCGATCTTCTACATTTTAATGTTTGATTTAGGATTTGGCATCTTGTTCTTTCTGACGCTGTCACAATGCATAAAATATCTCTAGTTGAGGAAAGACAGGTTATTTTTTTTTTCTTTTATATAATTTCTCCATTCTTACGAAACACAAATCGGCGAGAGAGAATCCTCAAATTGCCTTTATCAGATCTGCATCGGAGTTATCCAGCATCTTCTCGTAATTCACAGGCGATCATTTTTAGAATTTCCAGTGTTGTAAACAGTTTTCTACAGAGAACGAATTTTTTTTCCTTTTAACTGCGCAGATAAATTCTGTCATTCTTCAGCGAATAAGACTTTAGCTTCCACTCAATATTTAACAAAGGAAAGAGTACTGAACTGTTACGTATTATCCGCCCGCCTATGTGGCACTGAATGCTGGACAACCTCCTCACAGATAAAGACGAGACTTGAAGAAACAGCGATGTGGTTCTATAGAAGGGTACTGAGAATACCATGGACCGAACATGTGAGCAACGACGAAACTCTAGAGAAAACGGAATAAAAAGGCACACATAGTTAACATCAGAAAGAGACGACTGAAATTTCTAGGGTATATAATGAGGAAAGAAGGCTTGGAAAATTTAATATTCAGAGGATATATTGAAGACAAGAGGAACAGAGGAAAACAAGACAAAAGCTACCTAACGAGCGTGTGTAAATAATAAAACATCATTTATTAAGTGATACAAAGAACAGGGAATTGTGGAGAGCCATGACCGCCAACGTCCTAAAGTGTCAGGTCTCATAGAATATATAGTATCAATAAAATATGATATAGTTCATAATCTGAGACGCACTGCATATTTTTTGTTGCATCAAATACAATTTTCCTGTATTCAATACACAATACGCCAAATACCTCGCTGTGTAAATCAGTTGTAATAAATTTAGCGGAGGCACGGTGAAGTAATGGATAGTGGCTCGGATTGAGTAATCGGAGAGTCAAGTTCGAATTCCAGTCAAATCCATTACATTCACTTACGTGCTAATAATACACTTAGGAAAGGTATGAATCCTCTTCTCCACCCCCTCCCAAATAAAGGTAAATAGAAGGACAGACCGGATGGCAACTGGTATACCGCAGAAAGAAATAGCAACCTAGTGCGGGGAAAAAATCTGCCTCGTCATTCATGTATCGAAAGATACATGATCGCCTAAGCGTGTATCACGCATGGCACATGACTGACTGATAGAGGACAAGTAACTTCAACATAAAATAGGCTGCCTTAGGGAGAGTTTAGCCGAAAACCGAAACATTTGCCTAAAATGTCGAAACATATTTTTTAATAGCCTCGTCAAATTAACACACATGGATGGCATGTATTGCTTCAACCTTGTTAAGAAATGTCTAAACTGTTAGCTCGTCCTTGGTAAGACAATAAACTGCATCCAACATCAGGTTTTGAGGAGCATGGAACCACCTCTTAATTGCTGGTGTTCCCAGGTCCACCCTGACCCATGGTGGTAGCACCTACTAGGGTCCCAACTCCGGATAAAAATAGTTAGCCCCCAAACTGGGGTCAAAGCACTATGAAAGTGTAAAAATAGGTTACATTTTTGTTTAAAGATTATTACCAGCAATAAACATTTTAAGAAAAAAAATGATTACCATCAATGGATTAATGAAAAAAATTACCAGCAATACATTTTTGAAGAAAAAACAATTCGCAGCAATAAACTTTTGAAGGAAAAAATATTACCAGCAACAGATTTTGGGAAAAAAAAATATTACCAGCAATCAAAAATCTTGTCGGCATTAAATAACCCACTGAGGTTGTTCTGCCACAAAACAAAACAAACCAATCTAAACTGTTAGCTCTATACAACTGTTCTCTCAGATCAGTGATTAAAATTGGCTTCCAGTGAATGAAACCTGTAGGTTTTAACAAGGACATTCCTTCTTCGAACATTGTGGGTTGGCGCTACAGAATCACAAACAAGAACTTTACCAAATAACACGTCATTTGAGGACTATCAAAAACAGTAACAACTTATTTATAACATAAGTAAATCGAAGAGAAAATAATGACATAATCAAGATGCTGACATTCCACACAACCGCAAACAAAACTTTAGGAAGAAAACCCCCATCAGCACTGGAAAGAAAAACCGGTTTTCCTGAAAAATTGTTTTAAGAGAAAAAGATTTTATAAACTTAAACGGTTACGCTAGCATATGTAACTGGTCAATTACTGTCGAGTGTTTTCATGTAAGGAGACAGTTAATAATACCATTATATATGCGCCTAAGTACAAAATGTTGATTTTTCTGTTTGTAGCTCGATTTTTACCCCCGGCGTCAGACGTCAAACGAAGACTCGTACCTGATCTATCTGTCAAAAAACTATTCTCAGCAACAAAAAGTAAATAAACTTGGTCAATGCAGCCGAGAAAATGGATTCATCTTAATTTAATTAAAGTGGCACTGGCTTCACTTGAGTTTTGTGCAGCGAGTGGAATCACATTGTTCAACCAGAATAAAAAGAAAAGAAAATACATCAACTGCCTGTTTTTTTTTTACTTTCTTCTTCATTCTTTTGTTGTTTTTTTACTTTGGTTTTTTTTTTTTTTTTTTTTTTTAATTCTGCAGTTCAATTATTTTACACTTTTCAGGCACTCTTTGTGAGATTAGATAATTCGGTTAAGGCATCACAATAAAAGACGAAGCGACTTTACTTGTTGGGCAAATACGGTGACTTGAAAACAATCTTTAAATTGTTCAACAACAATGGCGACAACGTTTTCATTTAGTTTCTTTCTCGATAAGAAAAGCGTGTACGCGCTGAATACCCGACAATAGCGCCGGCAATCACAATAAATAATAAAATTATTTTAAAAAATGAATGGACAGAGGGCTTTTTGATCGCTTGTTTGAACAAATATTTACAGCAGACGTTTGTCAGTTTTCTTTTGCAGTCAAAAACTCATAGGACTAATTTCATCACTTCGCACATTATTTTGGCTGTAATTGTCTATTTTCATCTAGTCCTGGGTATGACGATAAACTACATCCGTAAGCAAGAACTCTGACTGGGAGATTGGAGATTTTGAAGAACGTGGGAACACCTCTTGAAGTTGTTTTCCAGATTCACCATGAGTATGGGCAAATAATTAATCCCCCAAACAAAAAATAAAAAAATAAAAAAAACACTATGAAAGTATAAAGATATATTTTTATATAAAAGATACTAACAATACCTATTCATAGTAAAATTACAAACAATACCTATTTATAGTATATATTTAGTTGAAGCCATAAAATTGTGTTCGCAATATTTAGATTTCGGCTTTAAAGAGGCTGATATGCCGCTAAACAAAATCAACCAAACCAAAGTATATTCAACAAAGCAGACGACAAATAAAAAATAATTACGTATGTAAAAATCCAAAGGATAGAAATAATAATAGTAATAATAATAATGTACAGACGACGCTATAAATTATTCCTCAGACTATATTAGAACGATGCAGGAAGAATAGATTCGTGCGTTGTTATGAGCATTCACCGCTGTCAGTAGCCGAGAATGAGCAGAGAAAACTCACGCGGGATACGACCATCTTGACTGACAAGTGCTTGGAAAGTAATCATCCTGATATCATATTTGTGCACAAGATCAGTCATAATTGGATCCAGATAGATACTGGAGTACCTTGGAATACATGCATTGTAATGGTGGAGCACGGCAAATTGGAGAAATATACCAAGCAACAACTGTTACTACTATTTCTAATAATTCTAATAATGATGAGAAGCTTATGTAACTAGTCTTGATAATACTATAAAATAAATCTCATTTAAAATGCAAATCTAACGCTCAATAATTTTATTACTACCAGAAATAATAATAATAATGAAAAGTCATGCTACTATTATTGACTATTACTGACACTACTACTAATAATGATAACACTAATAATAAATCTCACAATATATTTCAAAAGTAGCGCTATTACCAATTACTTCTGCTACAACAACAATTGCTACTTCTACTATTACTATTACTAATACTACTACTACTAATAATAATAATAATAATAAGAAGAAGAAGAAGAAGAAGAAGAAGATACTATTACCAAAAATAATAAATCCCAATTAAAATAAAATGCAAAAGTTTATCAGGCTGCTATTACTACTACTACTACTAATAATAATAATAATATATCTCACAATAAAATAAGAAGGAAATTTATAATTCATCTCTTCTACTATGTTAAAATAATTGCCTCTCGGTGTCGAATATGAGCTTGAGTGTCGTACCTACAATAGCTGAGGTTTACACCACACAACTTCAAAACACCGATTCCTGTACAAACACCGAAGTTAAGCAGCCTCGAATGTGGTCAGTACTTCGATGGGTGACCGCTTGATAATACCATGTGTTGTAAGCTTGGATGTGCAGGTGTTATGAACAATGATGGAGAGCCAAGTTTCAATTACGCGCAAATCCCCTTGAGGGAGGTATGAACCTACCTATTCTCCTCTCCAGCTATTGCTTAATTAGTAAGACGTGTATCACTGAACCATTATTATCTCCCCCCTCTGCAAAAACAAAAGTTCTTACAGTCTAAAAATATTTTCTGGCTTTAAATAACCTACAAAGGGTTGATAAACCGTAGAAAATCAATCAAGTTGTTCCTTTTCTGTTTGACGCAATCGAAACTTATTCCAGATATCTTTCTGTCGCGTCTTGGGAATACGTTAAGTGGACACAGATCGTAGCACTCTTTGGAACAGCTCATGTGCTGAAGAAAGTGTTGCGTCTCTAATCTGCAGATAGGAAATGAGATTTGAGTAACATTACTCGGCCGAAACATCTAGAAAGGATATCAATTATACTACTACTACTACTGCTACCAACAATAATAACAATAATAAAGTGTGTAAATTGCTCTTTCGATTACTTTTGTAACACCCTATTTATCATCTCTCATTTGCATCTCATTCTTTGGGAAGAGTGCGATCAGGGGCGGCCCCGTCAAAGTATAGAGTCTCAGCTGAGGAGAATTATACTGACAGATGCCCAATCCTGGAAAATATCTGCCCGAGGCCATGCCCTCTCGTTGCACAAGAGAGAGGGATCGGTGCTCACATTGAGGCCAGCGCAGCCAACAGTTGTGGGGACTGCGGGCAATTTTTGTTCCTAGCCCGGGTGTACACGCTCAGGCTTCCCACATTAAACCGACCTTGTGTCACAACCTGACCACATGGGAGGTTGAGTAAATACAAATAATAGCAATAATAATAATGAATACCTTGATGCAACACCAGGTATGATTTTTCATAGCTTATATGAACAAAATCTTATATGATTGAAGATGTTTTATCTTGAGCAATGAAGATGTGGTACTACTATAATGTGTGGTCTACCACAATTTTTTTAGTCTACGTAGAGAAATGACATTTAGTGTGCAGCCTACATTTCAAGGTATGAATTTATTACCGGTGTTAAAGCATTTTACCCTTTTGACCTGATTGCCCCTGGCCGGTCAATATAAAATAACATTTATCGTGAGATCTAACTTTCATTGCTTCCCTTATTTTTAACCTTTTAATCTGCGTCTTCCTGGTCGATCAGTATAAAATAAAACATTTTACCCACTAAAATGCTCCTAAAATTTCTTAGTGACGTTAGGCTGCGCATTGAAGTGTAAAACGACAGGTAGATTGCTCGCCAAATTGTAAATGGCCTGTATCACGCCAAAGGCTATTTCACAACCTAGACTACGGACTCTGCGGTAGACCGTACGGTAAAATAACACCGAAGGTGGTCTACAAAAATATCCTGTCCTGTACCACAGATTGGCTTTTCGCTTGCCTTAACTTAAGCAACTTATTCATGTCTCCTAGTGGCCGAGACATTGCAAATGAGCGGGGGGGGGGTAGTTGAGAAGTCAAACTTAGATACTTGGAAATACCCTCAATCATTAGTCAACCAGAATGGATAACCAACTGAGACACACTTGCTATGTTTTCCTTGTATTATAAAAAAAATTGTTCACCCTGCTGCGCATATTTGGCTGTGCTGCATGTGCCTGGTATACTATTATCAGACACGATGGCATGACGATTATTGGGCTTCGTGCATTTGTACACCAGTGTCACTTTTTCATTCAATAACAACAACAACAACAACTACAACAACAACAATAATAATAATAATAATAATAATAATAACAATAATAATAATAATGTCATGTATTACTACAGCTACTCTTATTATGACTAGTAATAAATTTCAATTACGATAATATGCAGAACAGTTTTAACGCGCATCAGTATTACTACGAGTCCAAGTACTAGTTCTACTAGTCCTGTGTAGGACGATAAACTACATCCGGCAGCCAGTCCCCTGATCGGGTGATAGAAGATTTTGAGATGTGTGGAACCACCTCTTATTAATTGCTGTTGTTCCCAGGTCCAGGTTGGTAGCACCTGTTAGGGTCCCAGTTATGGGCAAATAGTGAACAAAAACAAAACACTATGAAAGTATAAAAATACATTTTTATTTTTTTCTAATTTTTATTACTGTAGATAATCATTTCTCTTTGGAATGTTCCATATTGATACATCATTTCATTGAAGATGGCGTTAAAAGGACAAGGGCGTTATCGCTTCTGCCATTTTCCTTTGCTAAATCTAAACTTTCTTTTCAACTTCCGGAAAGCCTCTTTCTGGGGATGTGTTGAATCAGTATATATGTGATTCTAGAATTCTAGAAACACACACACACACACACACACACTCTCACACACACACACACACACACACACACACACACATATATATATATATATATATATATAAGGGGGTTTCAATAACTTGGACCGATTTTAAACTTAATTCACATTTAAAATCGGTCCAAGTTATTGGAACAACCTTTAGTTTCAACGCACGGCCAGAAAGAGGCTTTCCGGAAGTTAAAAAGAAAGTTTAGATTTTGTGACCGCTTGCTATGCCAAGAATTTATGGCTAGGGCACAGGCAATCTATTACAGAACATAACGTCTGTACTAACTAAATACGGAACGAAAGGACAAACACAATTTATATGATGATAACATCGCATCATAATGGAAATTAGATGAAGGCATGAAACTTGAGAAAAATCCGTCCGGTTGATCCTTGGAAATAATAAAATCGTAATAGTAAAAAAACAGAGGGATATTGTTGATTTTTTTTTTATTCTATCAACTATTAAACCAAATTTTGTGCTTAATGAAATGACTCCAATTTTTCTCTTGTTCTTTCATATCGTGACGATATCTTCGGCTTCGTTGCATTTCTGCTATTTAAACGAGAATAATAAAAATCAGGCAGCAAAACATTAGAAGATTCCTGTTAAATAACACGCACACATGTATTCAAGCAGACACAAACACATACACCCCCATATATATATATATATATATATATATATATATATATATATAGTAACAAATAAATACTCACTTATCTTATCACTACAATGAGTTATGAGATGATTATACCCACACGTCATGTGATTCTCAAAGCACTATTAATGATTTCTCTCTTGGTATTGAGTACTAAAATTATAAAGATCTCCTTCTACGTGTTGTGTCTCTTCAGGACGTTGGCAATCATGGCTATCCTCAATTTTCAAAAATACAACATTTATTAAGCTCTACAGGAGATTATAAGTGATCGGAATTTCTTTTAATGTCATGTCCCTTTAGTGCATAGAGGTGAATTACTCTCTACAGAGTTCCGTTCTTTATTATCTGTAAATTCCAGTGGCATCTTGCGCAAGATAATGCAGTGTTTTTCATTCGTCTTCTAAACAGTTTCAAATCCAGAGTCATCTTTCTATTAGACTTACTTCCAAGACTATTCTGCTATTTATTCCAAAGCCAACGAAATGGAATCATGTCTTTATTCGAAAGTGGAAGTCACAGAATCCGTCAGAATTTAAAATCTGCTCGACGATTCCAATCTCAGACGCGATACCAATTACACCAACAGCATATGCTGGTCACCAATTAACAATAGTTTAAGGCATAAAATAGCAATATTATATGCATAGTTGCAAATGTACTGCCAATGATTTTACTATAGAAATACACTGAAAATCAATTGTACTTGTAAAATCGCCGTTAACGATAGAATATGAACAATTTAATTGATTTATGACAAAAATAGTCATTCTGAACGAGAACTGCACAAACAACAAGACAAAAAAAGGCAGGAAATTTATCGGGACGAAAGACTTGTGTGCACAATGAAGTGTTCAGATTTCAATATGTTTTTTTTTTTTTAATTTTTTTATTTTTATTCTCTGGAAGTCTTTGCGCGGTGTTTTCTGGTATCAGCAGAGAGCCACTTATAATATGAATCCTTTAATTCTATTGGCCGCCGTAAAACACGACTTTTGCTCTTCGAGAGACTGAAGGAGACCAAAAACAAAAAGACAAAAAATAAAAAGACCAAAAAGGAAAGGTTGAGAACGGACAGCAAATGAATGAGAAAACAAGAAAAAAAAATTAACGGAAAAATGAACTTGTTGTTGATTGATATCGGAGGAAAAAAAAGCTTCCTTCTTATGTTAAATCCACATTTTTCTTTCATTTTCTTCTTGTGTTATTATATTTTACATCCTTTTTCAATGAATTTATCTTGTGTTTTTTTTCTTGTTCTCTATCAAACTTCTTCAGTATTTCTTACTCACATTTTTTTAGATTCCTTCCTGCCTTGTTTTTCACTTATTCTTTTATTAATATCTGTTTCTTCATTTCTTGACAGCCTGTTCTTACTAATTCCTTTTCCAATTTCCTTTCTTTCCAATTCGCTTTTTTCCTTATCATCCTTATTTTTGTCAATTCCTTTTATTTTCTTCATCTCTTCTTTTTCCTCCTTCAGCTTTTCCTTCCTCTTGCTCTTTCTTGCTTAACTTCTCCATTTACTTATATTTTCCTTTCTTTCTTTTTTCTTTTTATCCTTTTTTCTTTTCTATTATTTCTCCTTACTTACCCCCCCCCCACTTTGTTCTTAGCATTCTCTTCATATTTCCACTATTCTTCTTTCTTTTTTTTTTTGTTCACCTTTTCCTCTACCTTCCTGTTCGTTTCTCTCTCTCTCTCTCTCTCTCTGTCTCTGTCTGTCTGTCTGTCTGTCTGTCTCTCTCTCTCTCTCTCTCTCTCTCTCTATCTATCTATCTATCTATCTTTCTCTCTCTCTCTCTACCTCTCCTTTCTTTCACTTTGCCTTCTCCTCATTCTTTCTCTTTCATGCTTTCTCCATATATTATTTTCTCCTTCTCGCTCTTCTCATATCCTTCTCGTTTTCTTCTTTGCCTTCACCCTTTCTCGTAACCTTTTCCTCACCCCGCTTCTTTCTTTTGCTGCTCCTTGTTTATTTTCATTTTGTCTTTCT